AAGCAATATAGAGCATCCTTCTTTTTCTGACACTGCCCTGACCAGGGTAACTCCTGCCTCAGTTACCTCTAACATGGTAATAGTGCTCAGCACAGAAGGAAGGTGTGTCTGCAGGAACAATAAGCCACAGCCTCTCTCCTAAGGCATCTCACATCTCTGCTCTGTGATTCATACTGATTTTTCCAGCCAGTTCTGGACCTGTTCAAATCATAGAATCATGGAATGGTTTGGGTAGGAAAGGACCTTTCATCTAGTCCAACCCCCCTGCAGTGAGCAGGGATATCTTCAACCAGATCAGGCTGCTCAGAGCCCCGTCCAACCTGACCTTGAATGTCTCCAGGGATGGGGCTTCTACCACCTCTTCTGGGCAACCTGTGCCAGGGTTTCACCACCCTCAGTATAAAAATTTCTCCTTTACATCTAGTCTAAATATCTCCTCTTTTAGTTCAAAACCATTTCCCCTTGTCCTGTCACTACAGGCCCCGCTAAAAAGTTTGTCCCCATCTTATAGGCCCCCTTCAAGGACTGAAAAGCTGCAATAAGGTCTCCCATCACAGCACAGAGTGTAGCTCAGAGACCCTCCTGGACCCTCTCCCAGGAGCACTGGAGCCAAGAATAAGAGCAGAGTATGAGTATCTGCTCCTATGTAGTGTTGTGCCACACAGCTCTGACTCTAAACTAGACCTAAACAGCTATGCTGGTACTGGCAGACAGTCTAGAGCTCATTTATTACAATATTCCCCCAAAATACTGGCTGCAAAGAGCAGCCTTGCAGAACACTCTGCTACAGAGGCTATCACAGATATCTGTGAGTGAACACAATACACCCTGCAGGCATCTCCAGGGGGGGATGAAATCTGGGTGGAAATTCTGAGCAGAGGTAAAGGGTAAGAGGTACTTCACTGAGAAGAGTTCAGGCAATGAATTCCCTGGCAGAATTTGATGGATTTAAGACCAGACTCAAGAGCATAGCCTCTTTCCACAAAGAAGGACAAATATCGGTGACTGAGGCATGGCTTTCACAGTCCCTTTGGAAAGCCACGGGGAGCAGAGCCCTGGGTCTAACAGGAGAGCAAGGTTTCTACCACATCTTCTCCGTGGCACTCAAGAGCAGGGTTTCTGAATGAGTGGACAACTAACCACACCCCAGAGAGTTTCTACAGAGAATAATGATGAGGTCAAACTGACAGGAGGGAAGAGAAGGAGAACAGAAAAGGAAGAAAGCGGGCGGGGAGGGCGTGACAGGGTGTGACAGTGGTAGTTAAAGCAAGGAACATAATTGGGCTTCTCTGTAGACTGAGTGGGTTGAGCCCTGAGGGACAGATTGCATCTCCTATGTAATTCCCATACCTTGCAAAAACCTGCAGTGATGGAAAGAGACTTTTGTCCCTACTCACTCCAGAAAACAGGTGATACAGGCACAAAAACCCAGGAAAATACCATCAAACCCAGTTCACTGGCTTTCACGCTGTAGGCTTCCAACCCAGAGCTTCCCATTCCACATGCATGCCACAAAACACATCCCCATACCTTCTAGCAAATACAAGAGCTGTAATAAAAAGGTCAAAAGCCACAACTACGATGTGCATAGTAAGTTGGATGGGGATTTTGTGTGGTTAGACTCTCAGATCATGACAGGAGCTGGGTATGCAGAGAAAGATAAATCTGTCTTTCATCTCTCCTGACAATAATCTCTGCTGACCTGGAAATACATCACAAAACAGATGCTTGGAAGAAAGAAGATAGGTGTTGGTTGTTGTTTTTTTTTTTTTCCTCCTAGATACTAGATGCTTCAGTTGTGAAGAAAATTACATATCAGATGAAGTTCAGCTCCTTGTTTTCCTCAGTTCTTAGTTCTCCTATGAGCATCCTCTTAACTGGTGACATTTATTTGGCATATCATTTCCCTCCGGAGTTCAGTCTGGCACAAGCTCTCATTGCATTAGGTGCTACACAATATAAATCAAAGCAAGCAACTTGCTCTTGCAGCAAGCTCTTGCCACTTGTTCATTCTTAACTGATATTTGCTAGGTAATTTCTCTACATAATCCTCAATCTATTCAATGTGTATTAGATGTCCTTCAGAAGAACTTAGTGTCACTAATTTGAGCTGTTTTAATTGAGCAAATAATAGATTTAATGATATTTCTGTGGCCCTGGATACATGAGATAAGCTTACAGGCTGAGTTCTTCTGTGGGGGTTATCTCTAAGGCTTCACTGCTTCAACACTCAGCATCTGAGTAGCTTATTCTGTCTCTGTGCCATTGATTCTGTGCTTCCTGACTTGTCTACCTGCAATAATATCTTGACAGCAGAACTGGAAACAGCTTCTTGTCACTATTTAATGACTGTGTCATTCCAGGCAGGCACTGGAATTCAGCATAAAGTGTATTTTATTCCTGTTCAAAATGAACAAAACCTCCCCTCCTGTAATAGTTTTCCTAGATGTGTCCATCTGCCCACCCCCCCCTTTTTTTTTCTGTCAGAAAAGAAACTTCCCAAATGATTTCTCTGTTGCTTTTCAAGCAAAATTTGATGCATTTTTCCAGTTGTCAAAAAAACTGTCAATGAGCAGCCTTCTTATTTAACCAGAAAAGAAGCAGAAACTATCTGTATGATGCTCTAGTTAACATCCTTCTCCATCCCCTCGGGATTCTTAGATGCTCTCTGAACATCTGGATCACAAGAATACACAAGAATACACCATAACCATTATTTTCCAGCAGAAAAGCTCTCTTCCAATAGAGAGTTCCTATCATCCACTTCTAGGAGAGACAGACAGATACCTACCCACTTATTTAGTGAGACTTGTCCCAAACCAGAATTAAACTCTGGAGGAAAAGAGAACTAGTCCAAAGATCCTGCCCAATCTTCCCCTTTCTTGCAAAGCACACCTGAATGAAGCTATTTGCTGTTCCTAAGAACATTCCTTCCAATCCATTAATTCAGAGATGCAACCATCCAGAGCAAACATACTCTAAATAAATATCCATTCAAACTCACAGCCATGTAGAGTAAAGGAATAAAGATTTGACCATCCATCTGGCCCTCCTGACATCAACCTTATCTGATTTATCAGGGACAGGAAGTACAACTGATGGAGCAGCGTGGGAGGACTGCCATTTCCACACTTAGCAAAATCCGGGGTTTTCACAAAGTACAACATGTCCTGGCTTGTCTGCTCCAACTGGTTCAAGGGAATTTGGGAGAACTTAAAAATATATAACATGCCTAAAGTGGCCTTTTGCTGACAGCAGATGGGCTTGGGGTTAAAAGACCACCCTAACACACCAAGAATGTCCTTTAGATTAGATATTAGGAAGAAGTTCTTCACTGTGAGGGTGGTCAGACACTGGAACAGGTTGCCCAAGGAAGCTTGGCTGCTCCTCTCTGGAAGTATTTAAGGCCAGGCTGGATGAGGCTTTGAGCAACCTGGTCTGGTGGAAGGTGTCCCTGCTGATGGCAGGGGGGTTGGAACTAGATGATCTTTAAGGTCCCTTCCAATCCAAACCATTCTATGATTCTGTGATTCTCCATTAAAGACTTCCTATGGTACTTTCAGAAAGTCACTTACTCTGGTTTTCCATCCCTGCCTACTGAATGAGACAAACAAATCTTTAGTCAGATTAGACTTCAAGCTCTCTGGGACAAGGGCTATCCTAATCTTATATCCAGGATTTGTTACAACGTGGCCCTTTCTAGCACATCATACAGAAACAGACTTTTTAATCAGAGAATCATACACGTCACCGAGTCAAACATTTCCAGTGCACACACACATCATCAAGTATAGATCCCTCACAACCACATTTTACCCATCTGACAGCTACAAACTCTGGAAGCCAACTGCTTGTCCTCACTGCTGCCAAAGTCTCTCTTCTCTCCCCCTGCATCAGTCTCCCTGCCACAAATATAAAAATCCAACATTGTCCATGCCAGGACTTTGCTCTTGTCAAGTCAATGACAGCCTGATGCTCCACCAGGTCATCCATGGTAGTGTCTCTCCTGTGAATCAGATGTTGCAAGTCTTTTATAAGGGTAATTTTTGAGGCCCTGTTCCCGCCCTGTGCTGGGAAACTATGGTTCTCACTAACAGCTCTCTGAAATAGTTCTCACTACAGTTCTCACTAATAGTTCTCTGCACAGCTTTGTGCTGCAGCACGTGGATGTGATTCAGCAGACCAGATGTGCAACATGAAGCAAGAATCTTGCACACACTTTCAGAGTCTCTGCAATGATAAGAGCAAGGAACTCCTCTAACAAGCAGAGAACAAAGAGTGCAGCTCCAGGATTAATTTCTCCCAAAACAAAGGTGGGCCATCACCAAAAAGAGGGGCACAGTCCTTTCATGCACTCCTCTCCCCTCCCTTGGGACTGCACTTGTGAGGCCACAGAGAGCAGAATTAAACCACCATCAACTATTCACCCACCCAAACTGCTGCTCTTTGACTTGCTGGAAAGGACTCACATACACCATCAGGTCACAGGAGCCAAACAAGTCGCCGCTCACAGCTGAGCCTTAGTAGCACGCTGCCTAAATAGGTGCTTTTTGCCTCTAGCACACACAAAGTAAAATCCTTCTTGTTGACCAACCTCATGTTTGTTATCTCACTTCTATAATCCCACTTGAAGCCTATGCCCTTGCTGATTTTACTAAGATCTCCCCCAGCTGCCCTCTTGTCTCTCAGTTTATCATGTAAATTTATATTGCTGTCTACAACAGCAGTATCCGAGTGCATCTCGATGAGACAGTTCTTTAAAGCTGTTTTCTAATTACAAAACCAATTAAAAAAAAAAACAACAAAACCCAAAACATAAACAGAAACAACCTCAGAGGAACACAGACATTTTATTTACAGCATGCTGCATCCCAGGAAATCTCTGCTGGAAACTACAAAGAACCAAATTTGTAAAAGTAACAAAACACATCAAATTAACACATCAGTCAACTGAAATGCCAACTAAATCCCAAAGACATAAAAACAAACCAGTTACTTACAGTTTGGTTGTGGTTCTGGAGGGAATTTGAGACGGATAATGGCCAAGATTATGAAAACAACCACAGGCCAGGAAATTAAAATGAACGACCATACCTATAAAACAGCAATGAAAATATATCGGTTACGTTTGTCGTATCGATGTGTCTCAGAGCTCGTCTGGAATGTACAAGTAACTACCCTAAATAAGTTACAGGATGCATTTTAAATCAGGAGGCCTGCCTTGGTATGCAGACTATTATAACCCAAGTATTATCTATGCAGGAAGAAAAATTACATAAAATTTCAAGAGCAAATAACAAGCCTGAAAAATAACACAAGCCTTCCTGTGTTTCAGTTTGGCTGATAATTACGGGGGACAGCGTTTTACGCAGCTTTGAGACACTATGTAATCATAAAAGCACACGGGGAAGCACTAGGCTTTTGGACACACTGATCACAAGATAAAAGAGCTGAAGTGTGAAAGGCTGGTTTCACTTTCTGTGAATGGCACTGCTCAAATGATGGGTAAAGACGACTTTGATTTGGTTATACCTCAAAATTAAAGTGTTTGATAAGTGAATTGATAAATCTACAGCATTTTTTTCCCCAGAAAAAGTTTCACTGTTCTTCAAAAACAGTAGCTCAGCCTCACAGTAGAGCTGAAAGAAATTCTTTTCGTAGTAATTATTGACAAGATGTGGAGCTCAGGCGTGGTGCGTGGTGTAGGAAGGGTTTATGGAGTTGTGTAACCAGTCAGCTGGAGAAGTCACGTTCAACACTGATCCACCAGGATCCCTCATATGAGCTTCTGACCCCAGCAACTTAACTCCCTGGCACCTTTCCATGCTCAGACTGTAGCAGTCCATGTAGATGGGCTGAGATGGCAGAGAGATGATATAAAATTGGCCTAGTACAGTGCAAAAAACATGAATATTTAAAGAGCTCTTGCCGCTGACATGAGTTGACCATTTCAGTGGACGAAAATGAAGAAAATACAGTCTGCTAATCATCTAGTGTAGCAAACCAATCTAGGTAGAAGGCCCGAAGTCAGTCTTCAAACTACAAACCTTGGGAGTTTTGTAAGCTAAGAAAATGCAATTATTCAAATAACCAACTGCTTTGGCACTGGTTGGCTAGCCTGCTTCCATGCTTACAAGATTAGAGTTCTCCATCCACCAGTAGTTAAGCTCAAACTACTCTGTGCTGCAGAATTGCTGCGCTACCTTCACGCCAATTTTTGAAACTGCAAATATGCCTTTCTTCAAAATCATCCCTTTTTTCATTGTTGTCTTGCTATTTTTTCCAGATCAGCACATATTATCCAAAACTGTTTTCCAAAGTAATTCCAAGCCCATAACAGTGTTTTCATTTCCTGTAACACTTACTGGAACATAAAACCAACCAAACAGACAGACAAACAAATCCTGGAGAGCAATTCAGCTTAAAGATGGTTGTTTTACAGCAACTCCATCCCTCTTGTCCCTGATGAGATGACACAGCGATGAAAATAGGAGCAAGATTCATGCCCCAAAATAGGCAAGTGACAGACATCAAACCATGAGGCACCTCCTCACACATCCCTTCAGAGAGGGTATTCCTATAATTTCAGCATTCAGCAACATTTTAGTTCTTACAGACAGCAATCTTCCTGCCTTTTATATATATATATATATATATATACACACACTGTCATTTATAACAAGATGCATCCCTGAAACTAACATCTTTTCATGATTTTTTTTGTATCATATGCTTTCCCTGTAACCAGTCCCCAAACACACTGTTTAACTCTGATTAATTCACGTGCAAATGGCATTATTAACGTATCCTCCTTGTTTAGTACCACGTAGGCTAAAGTAAAATGATGGAGTAACAGCACAGAAACTGGTATTAGTCAGAGGTTGCCTAAATGAAGGGCAAGACATCTGTCATGTTCTTGTGGGAAGGAATGAATACTGATTGTCTCTGCTCAGGGAAATCTTTGCAGCTCCCTGTTTGGGGCTAAAATGGTGCTTTTACTCCCCACTTTCCAGACATCTTTTCCCTTGGTATCCCTGTCCTTTAACTTATTGGATTTAATAGTAGCTGGGTACATCAGCTGCAACACACCAGCATTCCCACTGTCCTTGGCATTTCTAGTTAATAAAACCCAGACAACTATCCTGGGCAAACTGATTGCAGGTGGAATATGTTGACTTGAAAGGAGCCATAACCAACCTCAATTTGGGTCTTGAGACATGAAACACTGTGCTGTAGGTTGCATAATCCTTTGGTTACTGGAGTATTTCACTGCTAAAAGTAGATGTAACCACTCAGATCTTTCTTAGGAAAAGGATGCAGGCACATTTTCCTTCCCTCCTGCCTCTGTTTAAATAACATAGAAGCAACAGATGGAAAGCAAAAGGACTGCAAGGGGCATCAATTTCTCCAGTTCCTCTTGGAACACAGGCCAAACCTTGCTCCTGAG